GATTTTTTAAGGTTCTTCCCAAGGCGTGGATTTTTTAAGGTTCTACACAAGGCGTGAATTTTTTAAGGTTCTTCCCAAGGCGTGGATTTTTTAAGGTTCTTCCCAAGGCGTGGATTTTTTAAGGTTCTTCCCAAGGCGTGGATTTTTTAAGGTTCTACACAAGGCGTGGATTTTTAAAGGGTCTTCCCAAGGCGTGGATTTTTTAAGGTTCTTCCCAAGGCGTGGATTTTTTAAGGTTCTACACATGGCGTGGATTTTTTAAGGTTCTACACAAGGCGTGAATTTTTTAAGGTTCTTCCCAAGGCGTGGATTTTTTAAGGTTCTTCCCAAGGCGTGGATTTTTTAAGGTTCTACACATGGCGTGGATTTTTTAAGGTTCTTCCCAAGGCGTGGATTTTTTAAGGTTCTTCCCAAGGCGTGGATTTTTTAAGGTTCTACACATGGCGTGGATTTTTTAAGGTTCTACACAAGGCGTGAATTTTTTAAGGTTCTTCCCAAGGCGTGGATTTTTTAAGGTTCTTCCCAAGGCGTGGATTTTTTAAGGTTCTACACATGGCGTGGATTTTTTAAGGTTCTTCCCAAGGCGTGGATTTTTTAAGGTTCTTCCCAAGGCGTGGATTTTTTAAGGTTCTACACAAGGCGTGGATTTTTAAAGGGTCTTCCCAAGGCGTGGATTTTTTAAGGTTCTTCCCAAGGCGTGGATTTTTTAAGGTTCTACACATGGCGTGAATTTTTTAAGGTTCTACACAAGGCGTGAATTTTTTAAGGTTCTTCCCAAGGCGTGGATTTTTTAAGGTTCTTCCCAAGGCGTGGATTTTTTAAGGTTCTTCCCAAGGCGTGGATTTTTTAAGGTTCTACACAAGGCGTGGATTTTTAAAGGGTCTTCCCAAGGCGTGGATTTTTTAAGGTTCTACACAAGGCGTGGATTTTTTAAGGTTCTACACATGGCGTGGATTTTTTAAGGTTCTACACAAGGTGTGGATTTTTTAAGGTTCTACACAAGGCGTGGATTTTTTAAGGTTCTACACAAGGCGTGGATGTTTTAAGGTTCTACACAAGGCCTGGATTTTTAAGGTTCTACACAAGACGTGGATTTGTTAAGGTTCTACACAAGGCGTGGATGTTTTAAGCTTCTACCCAAGGCGTGGATTTTTCAAGGGGTAAACATTTCTGAGGTCTTCAATAGGCGAGGATTTTTTAAAAAAATTCCAAAGACATGCCTTTAAGTTTTCTTACCATATACCATTAGACCTTCTTTCGATCTCCTGCATATTGCCTTTTATGCCTTCCATTGTACAATGTCTACTTACCATGATACTTATCGTCATGGTGATAGTGTGCAATGATTATGAATGGATAGGCTACGATGGGCATATCAAAGTGCAGTCTGTCAGCCTGGCAGGGTACTTTTGCTGCTGTTGTTGTTGTTGTCATTCAATTAAGTTCTAATTTAATCTTATTTGCTTGACTTGATGTGGCTGAATTTATTGGTATCTCTTTGTGTGCGTATGTGTGTGTGTGTGGGTGAGAGTCTATGTGTGATGGTATTGATGCGTGGGTGTTTTATATCGGGGTACTTGACATAATTTTTCCCCAACGTACATGACTTTCTTTTCATTGCGGGGCAATCACTATGTGGTCCCCTCACTACCCTCTGCGTCCCTCTTTCTCTTCGATTTTCCCATCTAATTTTTATTAAACCCTCGCACTCACACAGAGATTTAATTGCTACTTGACATTATGAGAACAAATAACGACCCTCGTTTGGATTTTGTTATTGGCTTGACTTGGCTTGGGATTTCATTTCATCTTTAACTAACACTTGTGCCAAATATGTGATGTGTGCGGAATATGGATGGAGGGTATTGGAAGTAGATGCCTTTGTTCCAATTTATTTTCAAGAATTTTTAAATTTTATTGGAGCAGATTTGGTTCCCCCTTGTCATCAATGACCACTTGACATGCATTTTTGGCACCACCCTCGTTGCTGGTGTGTTGAGGAGTAGGCGGGGTGGTGTTTTGACTATGGCCCTTTTCCCCCGGTCTCCATTTTCTTGAATTGCTGTAATTTGATCTCTTGATTTTCTCCGTAAAAGCAAGACGACTTGTAATTGAGTAAAGTGCAAGCTTTTTTCAAGTTTCTACTTTTTTACCTGCAATTACTTCGTTGTTGTTGACGGGCACCACTTCCCTGTTGAGCTGTTTCTCGTGTTGTTGTTGTTGTTGGTGGTGTTTCTGTTGCACTTTTTTCGGTGTTCTTTTTTGTGTGTTGGCTACGTTTTATATTTGAGACAGCTGAGTGCAATTGCAAGCCAGGCAAACTTGAACCACTTTTGTTGCGATAAACTTGGTCTACCTTTTCGCTTTTGGCACGGTCGGTTTTTAAAACAGATTCTTAAATTGCACAGTGGGACAAAGAAAACAACAAAGGTAGGAACTGCGAAAGACCTGCAAAAATAGGCCTTGATTTTTTAAGGGCTTCAATAGGCGGGAATTTTGTTTAAATATTTTTTTGAGGGCTTCAACATGCGTGCATTTTTATACCCTACACAACTATGCTGTCTATGGATGTTATAGCTTTGTGCAGCCCCAAGAGTTTGTAACGCCGCAAAAAAATTGGTCCTAGACCCACATTTAAGTATACCTATCGTCATATCTCGACTAGCTGAGCCGATCTAGACATGTGTGTCCGTCCGTCTGTCCATTACAATTTGTAAACACGATATAGGCCACATTTATGGACCAATCTTCACGAAATTTTGCATGTAGGATGGATTCGGCCCAATGAAGACAACTATTTTGGTAAAGATCGGTTAATATTTAGGGGATGAAATGGTCCAAATACTAAATTTTTGTATGATTTTCTGGTCGCTCCAGAGGCCTCAATTATGACCCAAATATCGCGTATTTTTACATGGAGAAGGGCTAAAGAATTAGCATGCCTGTTTTGATGAAGATCGGTCAATATTTAGCGGCTCAAATGGAACCTGACTTTCGTGTGAAAAATTACAAAATGTTTATTCTATGGCGTATATATTTACCCGTGAAGAATATAGATCTGAGAAGTTGATAGTATATCCAAGAGTAGTGGTTGACCGTTAAATTGATACCAATTATATTGTCGTATGCACTCGGATGTGGGAGATACACTTAAATATTTACAGGTGTATTCATATATTGTTACCTAATCCATTACCACATTAGAGTGCGAAAATATAGCGCGGATCGCTTTGAAATTTTCTATGAGAATCCAGGTATGGTCAAGGACAACCCCTATAATTTTCGGTGATGATCAGATAATAATATTGGGATGAAGGTGAACCAAAACAATAGGCCACAATTATAAGCCGAACATTACAGCACAACCCAAGGTGAAGGGAATCTGGGCAAGTAATTAGAAGGGCTGTACTTGACCTCTAGTCGGTCAAGAGAGTTCAAATATCGCGAAATATTGTCCATGCTCAGAATATGGAACCACAGAAAGTTAGATTTTCATGAAAGTTGTGTAGGGTATCGTATGGTCGGCCCCATCCGACTATACTGCTACGCTCACTGGTTTAAAAATATTTTTCAAGGGCCTGCATTTTTTAATTGTTTCTTCTTAAAGGTTTCAGTAGAGATGGATTAAAAATCTGAGGCGTGGATTAAAAAAAAAAAAAATTCAAAGAAGCCTATCAGAAGCGTGGATATTTTTTTAAATATTTTTCCAGAGACCTAACAGAAGCGTAGATTTTTTTAAAAAATATTTTTCAAGAGACCTATCAGAGGCGTGGATTTTTTTTTAAATATTGTTCTAGAGGCGTAAACAGAGACGTGGATTTTTTGAAAAAAATTTTCAAGGGGCATAAACAGAGGCGTGGATTTGTTTAAAAAAATTTTTCTAGAGGCCTAAACAGAGGCGTGGATTTTTTTTAAAATATTTTTCTAGAGGCCTAAACAGAGGCGTGGATTTTTTTAAAAATATTTTTCTAGAGGCCTAAACAGAGGCGTGGATTTTTTTTAAATATTTTTCTGGAGGCCTAAACAGAGGCGTGGATTTTTTTAAAAATATTTTTCTGGAGGCCTAAACAGAGGCGTGGATTTTTTTTACAAATATTTTTCTAGAGGCCTAAACAGAGGCGTGGAGTTTATTAAAAATATTTTTCTAGAGGCCTAAACAAAGGCGTGGATTTTTTTTAAATATTTTTCTGGAGGCCTAAACAGAGGCGTGGATTTTTTTAAAAATATTTTTCTGGAGGCCTAAACAGAGGCGTGGATTTTTTTAAAAATATTTTTCTGGAGGCCTAAACAGAGGCGTGGATTTTTTTAAAAATATTTTTCTAGAGAGAGGGTGCAACTATCACGAAATATTACCCAGGTTCGGAATAAAAATCCGAACAGAGGCGTGGATTTTTGTAAAATATTTTTCTAGAGGCCTAAATAGAGGCGTGGATTTTTGTTAAAAATATTTTTCTAGAGGCCTAAACAGAGGCGTGGATTTTTTTAAAAATATTTTTCTAGGGGCCTAAACAGAGGAGTGGATTTTTTTCAAAATATTTTTCTAGAGGCCTAAACAGAGGCGTGGATTTTTTTAAAAATATTTTTCTAGAGGCGTAAATAGAGGCGTTGATTTTTTTCAAAATATTTTTCTAGAGGTGTACAGCTGGATTTTTTTATTTTCCCTTCCGTTCCCCTGTGCTGCTTTTAAAGGCATTACACTGAACTTCTTTCTTCCTCCTTTATTTTTTTGGACAGAATTGCATATTTCTTTTGCCCCCATCCTTTTTTATTCATTAAAATATCTCTTCATTCATGAAGTTGTATGACTTCAGTGATTCAAAAGCTGTTACTTTTTTTTTTGTTTAACCCTGATTGAATTTCTTTCTCCATTCGTTGAGACTTTTGAAAATAATCTTGCTCTTTTTCTTTATCTCATTCTTTTCTTCTTCTTTACTGACATAAACTTTAATTTCTTAATATTTCAATTTACGTTTTTCTTTTTTCCTTTTTTCTCGTTGCAGCACTGACGGTTCCGAATCGCCCACATTGGCTGAATCCGATGCAGATGGTCACGACAAGCCACGCGTTAAATATGGTGAATTAGTTATATTGGGGTAAGTTTGAAACTTTTTTTTTACAAAACATATTTTTTTTAATAAAACTTTAAAAATATGTAAAAGATAAGCCACGATTAGCAAGAAGTTGTTAATGTAAATTTTTTTGTAATATCCCCTTGGGGTGATTTTTTATAAGAAGGGGTGACCATTATCCGATGCCATAGACACGGGTGGTAATTATTTATTTTAGATCTTTTGGTAGTGATTAATTTGGACAGTTTAAACGATCGTATTTTAATGACTTCTTACGAAAAAAAATTGAAACCAGAAGTCAATGATGTGGTAATAGATTGTTAGCCATTTTGTCCGATTTTTATTAGTAGTAAAATTGAATAGCTTCCATGAAATAGAATGGCATTTGAATTATCACCTCAAGATAATGTAATAAACCAAGCAAACATTTTGATTATAGGCACGGATTTTTTCAAAATATTTTTCTAGTGGCCGTGGATTTATATACCCTTCACCACACTGTGGTACAGGGTATGATGTCCTTTGTACATATGTTTGTAACATGCAAAAAGAATCGAGATAGACCCATGGTTCCTTTTGAGAATATGCATAGAAACACTTTCTAAGTCGATCTATGCATGTCCGTCCGTCTGTCTGTCCATGTTAAATTGTAAACAAAGAGCAGGTCGCAGGTTTGATTCGAATTGGATGAAATTTGGTACAGCTCATTTATTTTCCCCAAGGACGAACCCTATTGAAATTGGGGAAAATCGGTTCAGATTTAGATATAGCTCCCACATATATATACTTCCCTATATATCTTTCGATTTGCACGAAATTTGGCGAAGCGCACTGAATTAGGTCCAGAATGATGTGTGCCACATTTCGAGAAAATTGGTTCAGATTTAGATATAGCTCCCATATATATTTTCGTCCGATTTAAGGTACATGGTGCATTAAAGCCCCTATATATCTTTCGATTTGCACGAAATTTGAAATAGCGTACTGAATTAGGTCCAGAATGATGTGTGCCACATTTCGAAAAAATCGGTTCAGGTTTAGATATAGCTCCCATATATATTTTCGTCCGATTTAAGTTAAAAGGGGGCACCAAAGTTGCTATATATCTTTCGATTTACACGAAATTTGGCATAGAGTACTGAATTTGGTCCAGAATGATGTGTGCCATATTTCGAGAAAATTGGTCCAGATTTAGATATAGCTCCCATACATAGTTTCGTCCGATTTAAGGTAAATGGTGCACCAAAGTCCCTATATATCTTTCGATTTGCACGAAATTTGGCAAAGCGCACAGAATTAAGTGTAGAAAGGCGTGTGTTGAATTTCGTGAAAATCGGTCCAGATTTAGATATAGCTCCCATACATAGTTTCGTCCGATTTAAGGTAAATAGAGCACCAAAATCCCTTTATATCCTTCGAGTTGCACGAAATTTGACACAGCGTACTGAATTGAGTCTATAATGATGTGTGCTGAGTTTCGTGAAAATCGGTTTAGATTTATATATAGCTCCCATATATAGTTTCGTCCGATTTTATTAAAATGGTGTACCAAAGTCCCTATATAACTTTCGATTTGCACGAAATTTGGCAAAGTGCACTGAATTAGGTTCAGAATGACGTGTTCCAAGTTTCGAGAAAATCGATTCAAATTTAGATATAGCTCCCATATATATTTTCATCCGATTTTAGGTAAATGGGGCACCAAAGTCTCTATATATCATTTGATTTGCACGAAATTTATCACAGAGTACTGAATTAGGTCCAGAATGACGTGTGCTAAGTTTCGTGAATATCGGTTCAGATTTCAGGTAAAGGTAAAGGATATAATCCCTTTATATCCTTTGATTTGCAAGAAATTTCCCATAGCGTAATGAATTGAGTCCAAAATGATTAGTGCTAAATTTCGGGAAAATGGGTTCAAATTTAGATATATATCCCTATATATATTTTCGTCCGATTTTATTATACCCTACACAACTATGTTGTCAGGGTATTATAGCTTTGTGCAGCCCCAAATGTTTGTAATGCCGCGAAATATTGGTCCTAGACCCACCTTTAAGTATACCGATTAGCTTAAGTCATATATCGATTAGTTTAGTCGATCTAGACATGTGTGTCCGTCCGTCTGTCCATTATAATTTGTAAACACGATACAGGCCACAGTTATGGACCAATCTTCACGAAATTTTGCATGTAGGATGGGTTCTGGCCAATGAAGACCCTATTGTTTTTGATGAAGATAGGTTAATATTTAGGGGATGAAATGGACCAAAAACTTTGTCCAATTTTCTGGTCGCTCCAGAGGCCACAATTATGGACCAAACATCGCGAATTTTTACATGGAGAAGGGGATACCAAAGAATAAAAATACCTGTTTAAATAAAGATCGGTCAATATTTAGCGGGTCAAATGGATGGAGATGGACATAGACCAGAGAATTTGATAGTGTATCCAATGGGAGCGGTTATATTGTCATATGTACTCGGATGTGGGAGTTACACGTAAATATTTACAGGTGCATATGTATTCAGATATTATTTAGTAAATCATTACCACACTGGAGGGCGGAATTAAATCGATGATCTCTTTGAAATTTTCCATGAGGTTCCAGTTATGGTCAATGACAACGACTATAATTTTCGGTGATGATCAGATAAAAGGCGTGAATTTTTAAAAATATTTTTCAGAGGCTTTATTTTTTGGATTTTTAAAATATTTTTTTTTTTTAGAGAAAAATCTAATCTTGGGTGTTTCCCTTCAAGTAGTGGTTTGTAGACGTATGGTGGGGAAACCCTTCTTTGTGTAGGGGCAATGTATTTTTTTCTTTTGAAAGTAATACCCATTTGGTTTTATATTGTCCGATCAAATGATTCATTGCAAATTGAATCCACATCGACCATGAAGGTAATCCAATTTTCTTGTTGACACAAATGTTTCTATTAATGAAAAATTCAGCAGACAATGAGAAAATTGGGTTAAGAGTGGTTAAAATGTTTCATGTGGTGTGGTACGACCCTCAAAAATATTGTTAGCAAATTCACAGCTGTGAAAAAGGGAGCATCGGGGAAAATTTTAAAAAAGAAATCTACGCATAATGAAGCCATGTGAACACAATATTTTTGTAAAATCTACGTCTATTGGAATCCTCGACATTTATTTTTAAAAAATCCGCGCCTATTGAATACCTTGGAAATTTATTTTTAAGAAGTCGACGGCTGGTACAGCAGATGGTGCATGCTCCTGACCAGGATCTGACCACCAGTCTTGAATAGTTCGGCTGGTAACCCGTCGGCTCTTGAGCCGATTAATTGCTTTTATGACAAATATTTTTAAAAATTCTACTCCTAGTGGTGCCTTTGAGAAATATATTATTTTAATCTAAATATTTTTAAGTCTAGGCCTATTGGATCCCATGGAAAGTATTTAAAAAAATCCAATCCGGTGATAATTTTTGGAAAAAATTAAAAAAAATCCACATCTATGCGTTTGTTTCTTCCTCCAAAAAGATTAACCCGAATCAGCCCGGTGTTACACACACAATCCCTAGGACCTACATAAATGCCCTTTGAAATATTTCCGAAAAATTCAAAAACAAAAAGTTCTGGGTCGATTCTGGTTAATCGTAGTTGGATAAACTTTTTTTCTCTAGTCCGGTCTGTGACATTTATTCCAACACTCCGATCTTCATATATAAAAAACATCTCCTTTGTACTTCACATAGAAGGCCAGTGAGACAGTCGGACAGACATCCAACCGTATCGACTATAGTCGAAATTATTAATTTTTTTGTTGTTGTTGCCCATTCGAACAAATGACTGTTTTATTAACATGATAAACATCGCGATCGGACAACTTCTTCATTATCAGCATCAACACCGCCGCTGCCATTGTCAGAGTATTATAACTTATCTCAGATGTTGTGGTGTTGTTGTTGTTTTTGTTGTTGCTGCTTCACTTAACTTCAACTTAATATTGTTATTATTACAACAATTTCATTCAAAATGCCTTGGTGGCTGGCTGGGTTTATTGTTCAATTAAGTCCACTTCGCCGGTTATGGTTATGCCGGTCTTTGGATGAGATCTTGAACGCTTTAATATAATTAATATATTTATGATGACTACATACATGACTACATAGTAAATATGTACAACACCATCAGCGGCAGCAGCAACAACAACAAAAGCCACAATTTCAATGCTATGAACTGAACTGCTGTTGTGATAAGGTTAATGAGATTAATCGTCGACACAGTCACAACAACACACATCAAATGTCCTTGTGATACAGTTTTTGAATTAAACGATCAGTGATCTTGGTGGTAGATAATAAAAGGGAGATGTTAAAAAAATTCACGCTAGATACAGGCATTGGAAAATATATGGGCTTCTGAAAAATATTTATAAAAATCCACTCCTTTAATGGTTCTAAAATAAATTAAAAAAAAATCCACCCTTTTGGCCTAGGAAAAATATTTTAAAAAATCCAGGCATTCAATAGTGGCCTTTGATAGGCCACTACAAAAAATTTCTTCAAAAAACCACGCTTTTGATAGACCCCTAGAAAAATAATTTTAGAAAATTTTAGAAATAATTTTAAACCATACTATACCCTACACAACCACCACGGAACTGTAACTTTCTGCGGATTTTTATTCCAAGCCTGCGCAATATTTTCTGATATCTACACCATGTTGTGTTACACTGACATATTTTCCGAATGTTGCTAATATTCTGTACAGTCCATCTAATTACTTGTCCAGATTCCCTTCGTGGAATGGTTGGGTTGTTTTGTGACGCTCGGCTTTCAATTGTGGCCTATAGTTCGACTCGAAAGACACCAAAAGTAAATTTTCGGCCCACTTCATCCCAATATTAATATCTGATAATCACCGAAAATTATAGGCGTTGTACTTGACAATACCTGGATCCTCATAGAAAATTTCAAAGAGATCAGCGCTATATTTCCGCCCTCTAGTGTGGTAATGGGTTACTAAATAATATCTGAATACGTAAGCACCTGTAAATATTTAAGTTTAACTCCCGCATCCGAGTACATGCGACAATATAATTGGTATACATTTAAAGGCCCACCACTCCTCTTGGATATACTATCAACTTCTGGGGTCTATGCCCTTGAGGAGTAAATATATACGCCAAAGAATACAAATTTTGCATCCGCATCCGAGTACATGCGACAATATAATTGGTATAAATTTAAAGGCCAACTACTCCTCTTGGATATACTATCAACCTCTGGGGTCTATGTTCTTCAGGAGTAAATATATACGCCATAGGATACTAATTTTGTCATTTTTCTCACAAAAGTCAATTTGACCCGCTAATTATTCACCGATCTTTATCAATACAGGCGTGCTTATTCTTTGGCCTTATCCTCTTCTATATGTAAAAATTCGAGGTGTTTGGGTCATAATTGCGGCCTCTGGAGCGACCAGAAAAACCGACAAAAATTAAGTATTTGGTCCAAAAACAATATGGGTCTTCATTGGATAGAACCCATCCTTCATACACAATTTCGTGAAGATTGGTCTATAACTGTGGGCCGTATCGTTGTTACAAATTATAATAGACAGACGGACGGACGAACGGACACACATGTCTAGATCGACTCAGCTAGTCGAGATATGACGATCGGTATACTTAAAGGTGGGTCTAGGACTGACCAAGGGCGTTAAAAACTCTTGGGGCTGCACAAAGCTATAATACCCTGACAACATAGTTGTGTAGGGTATAAAACGTCACAACTTCAATGGGCCTCTGGAAAATATTAAAAAAATCCATTCCCTATAGTCTCTATTTTTAACATGCACGCCTGTACTAGGTCTACAGAAATTTGTTTTTATAAAAACTTTGAATCCAACAATTCCGAAAAATATATTAAAAAACACCTCGGATATTTAAAAAAAGACAGGCCTGAGATTACTATTTTTATTAGTCCTCTGAAGAAATCATTTAAAAAATCCACGTCTTTGATAGGCCTCTGAAGAATAATTTTTAAATAATCGACGCCGTTGATAGGCCTCTGAAAAATAATTTAAAAAAACACCCCTTCGAAGGGCCTCGGAAAAATTCAATCTTTTTAGAAAGGCCAACGAAGTTTACGTTTTTGGTATGCATCGGAGAATATTTAAAAAAATCCACGTCTTCGATAGACTTTTAAAAAATATTTTTAAATAATTCAAGCCTTTTAGAAGAATTCAGAAGCCTTGGAAGGCCACAGAAATGTTTTTTTAAGCCTTGCCTTTGGTAGGCCTATGAAAAATATTTTTAAAAAAACCCACTCCTTAAAAAGCGCATAGAATAATATATATTTTTTAAAAATCGATAGCTCTATTGAAATATATTTTAAAGAAATCCAAGTTTTTAAAAAGATACAGAAACCTGGATTATTTAATAATATATTTTCCGGGGCCCAACAAAATCTGGGATTTGGGATCCATGCGTTTGATAGGCCTCTAGAAAAATACTTTTAAATAATCTAAGCCTTTAGAAAAATCAGAAGCCTCCAAAAGGCCACGGAAATGTTTTATTTTTAATCTATGCCTTGGATTTTTAATTTTTTTTCGGTGGCCGATTAATAGAGTGGGTTTTTATAAATATGTTTGAAAAGTCGAACAAAGATGTTGATTTTTAAAAATACTTTTTTTTTCAAGACCTATCCAATGTGTGGATCTTTTAGAATTATTATTTGCACTTTTTAAAAATATTTGGTACAAGGACGAACCCTACTGAAATTGGGAAAAATCGGTTCAGATTTAGATATAGCTCCCATATATATTTTCGTCCGATTTAATGTAAATGGTGTACCAAAGTCCCTATATATCTTTTGATTTCCACGAAATTTGGTATAGCGTAATAAATTAGGTCTAGAATGATGTGTGTTAAGTTTCCTGAAAATCGGTCCAGTTTTAGATATAGCTCCCATATATATATTTTCGTCCGATTTAACGTAAATGGTGTACCAAAGTCCCTTTTTATCTTTTAATTTCCACGAAATTTGATATAGTGTACTGGATTAGGTCTAGAAGGATGTGTGTTAAGTTTCCTGAAAATCGGTCCAGATTTTGATATAGCTCTCATATATATTCTTTCGACCGATTTATTGTAAATGGTGTACCAAGACCCTATATATCTTTCGATTTGTACGAAATTTGGTATAGTGTACTGAATTAGGTCCATAATGATGTGTGTTAAGTTTCCTGAAAATCGGTTCAGATTTAGATATAGCTCCCATATATATTTTGGACCGATTTAGTGTAAAAAATTTAATGTACCGAAGTCCCTATATATCTTTTGATTTCCACGAAATTTGGCATATCGTACTGAATTGAGACTAGAATGATGTGTGCAAAGTTTCCTGAATATCGGTCCAGATTAAGATATAGCTCCCATATATATTTTCGTCCGATTTAATGTAAATGGTGTACCAAAGTCCCTATGCATCTTTCGATTTGCACGAAATTTGGTATAGTGTACTGAATTAGGCCCGGAATGATGTGTGTTAAGTTTCCTGAAAATCGGTTCAGGTTTAGATATAGCTCTCATATATATTTTCGACCGATTTAATGTAAATGGTGTACCAAAGTCCCTATGCATCTTTCGATTTGCACGAAATTTGGTATAGTGTACTGAATTAGGCCCGGAATGATATGTGTTAAGTTTCCTGAAAGTAGGTTCAGACTTAGATATAGCTCCCATATATAGTTTCGTCCGATTGTAAGTAAATGGTGCACCAAAGACCCAAAATTAGGCCGATTGACACAAAATTTTGCACAACGTACTGAGATTAATATATACCTGGTGTGTGGAATGTTTTGGAATCGGTTCAGATTTGTATAGAGCTTCTATGTATCTTTTCCCCCGATTTTAAGTAAATGATGCACCAAGAAATCAAAATGTGGCAGATATGCACAAAACATACCAAAATTAGTATAGCTTAACCTGTGACAAGTTCCGATGAAATCGGTTTAGATTTCGATATAGCTTTTATATATATATTCGCCCAATTTTTAGTAAATGGTGCACCAAACTACTCATGTTTATCCAATCGGGTACCCTGATTGATATTTGCTATAAATTGATTTACATAATTTTGTCCCATTGTAAGTAGCAACTCATATATCTGACCAAATGAAAAATATAGTATAGGTTGCAGAATGGCATGTGTATGGATCCATTATCACGTTAATGGTCCTTCAAAAATGCGACGTCCGTTAGGATTCATCTGTTAAATATACCCAAAGTGGTGAAGGGTATCATATAGTCGGTCCGTCCGACTTTACTACTTTCCGTACTGTCTTCTTTTTTTTCAGAGCCCCATCAAAGGCCTGGGGGTTTTAAAAATATTTAATAACTTTTTTCCGAAAATTTTGGTATTTCACAATTTCTAAAATTATTTTCAAAACTTGGTATTCCAAGAAGAAATTCTTTGCCACCTCATTTGTTGTTGTTCTTTTTTTTTTTGTTTTCTTGTTTTTGCAATAAGGTGTTAATTATTTGGCTTTTAGGTTAATTTTGAAATTTTATAGCAAATGAAGAAAAAAAGAACAACAATAACAGCAACAAAATTAAAATAAATACTAATGAATGTGTGAAACTGCATTACATCGGCATCGAAATCATAGCAAACAACTGCAGCAGCAACAACACAAAAGCCGCATTAAATTAAAAAACAAAGCTGTTAATTGATGTTGTTGTTGGCTGTGGTTGTTGTTGTAAAGAGCGATGTGAATAATCTTTTAACGAACAACATCAACAATTGTTTCTGAACAAAAAACCCAAAACCAATGATGCCTCCACAATAGTATTGAAGCCACAATGAATGGCAGTACCGACCGACGGACTACTCCTCCTGCCCTCCCATTAGATATAGAATATTAACAAAAGTGCCGATAATGGAGGTGGTGATGATGATGATGATGACGACCACAGTTGTGGTTCTGAATTGTGTGTTGGTGGTGTTCACTGGTTGAGCTCAAAATTTAGTTTAGTTTTTTGTTGTGTTGTAAATCGTAATTTCAAAATATGTTCGATTGTTCCGAAAAACTTGACCTAGTTCTTGGTCGCTGGCATTTTGTTTCATTCAAACGTAACATCATTGTCGTTGGCTTGTTGTTATTTCACAGCTTATTTTGTAATGCGAATCTTTTGTTTTTTTCTATTTTTTCATAATATTTAATACTTATTCTTCTTCTTCTTCTTATTGTTCTCTAATTCCAGCTACAATGGTTATTTGCCACAGGGCGATCGCGGCCGAAGACGTTCCAAGTTTGTCCTGTACAAACGCAGTGAACCCAGTGGTGTCAAACGTTCCAAACACTACATTGTCCAATCGCCACAAACATCAAAAGCCATACTCGATGCCAATCAACATTCAATATCGTACACATTATCTCGCAATCAAGCTGTCATAGTCGAATACAAAGAGGATACGGAAACGGATATGTTTCAGGTGAGCAAAGCTACAAGAAGAAAAAAATTGATAATAAGGGGTAATACTACGCATACCGTCAATGTGGGGTGGCTGGGAAGTCTATGTATGTGTGTTTGTTTGTATCTCATAATCTACTCAAGAATATTAGTTTATTACTAGTAGTAGCAGTAGAATGACAAATGTCAAAATGATGACACATGACAGTTGTGTGTCTCATATGAAGAACACAATTTATTAATGGATATTAAATGAGACTTAGGAAGGATGACCATAGGGTACACAGTGACAATACACCTCAAAGGTGGTGGGATTTTTTTAGAAATACCTTTCGAGATCTTACCAAGGCGTGGATTTTTATACCCTGCACAGCAATGTTGTCAGGGTATTATAGCTTTGTGCAGCACCAAGAGTTTGTAACGCCGCGAAATATTGGTCCTAGACCCACCTTTAAGTATGCCAATTGTCATATCTCGACTAGCTGAGTCGATCTAGACATGTGTATCCGTCCGTCTGTCTGTCCGTCCACAGGCCACAGTTATGGATCAATCTCCACGAAATTTTGCATGTAGGATGGGTTCTGACCAATGAAGACCCCTATTGTTTTCGGTAAAGATCGGTTAATATTTAGGGGCTGAAATGGACCAAAAACTCTATTTATGTTCTATTTGATTTTCTGATCGTTCCAAAGGCCGCAATAATGGCCCGAACATCGCGAATTTTTACATGGAGAAGACGGTCGGGGCAAAGAATGAGCATGCATGCTTTGATAAAGATCGGTTAATATTTAGCGGGTCAAATGAACCCTGACTTTTGTGTGAAAAATTACAAGTTTGTATTCTATGGCATATTTATATACCCCTGAAGGACATAGACCCGAGAAGTTGATAGTATATCGAAGTAGAGTGGTTGACCTCAATTTAAAGGTCAACCAATTATACCAATTATATGGTCGTATGTACTCGGATGTGGGACTTACATTTAAATATTTACAGGTGCTTATGTATTCATATATTATTTTTAACCCATTACCACACTAGAAGGCGGAAATATAGCGCTGATCGCTTTGAAATGTTCTATGAGGTTTCAGTTATGGTTAAGGATAGCGCCTATAATTTTCGGTGATGACAATATAATAGTATTGGGATGAAGTGGACAGAAGACTGAATTTTTTTATGTCGATCAATTATAGTCGATCTATAGGCCACAATTGAAAGCCGAACATCACAACACAAGGTTGTGTAGGGTATAATATGGGCGTCCCCGTCAGACTATACTGCTCCGCTCATTGATTAAAAATATTTTTGAGAGGTCTGTACTGGGCCCCTGGGTTTGTTACAAATATTTTTCACAGTCCTGTCCAGGCGTTTTACAAATATTTTTGAGAGGTCTTCGAACATTTTTTTAAATCTAGAACTTTTAAGAAATCCTTTAGAGAAATATTTAAAAAAAAAATCCACGCCACAGTATTTGTATAATCCATGCCAAAAATATTTGTATAAAACCCAAGCCCAGGACAGAACTTTCAAACATATTTTTAAAAACCCAAGACCTTGGACAGTCCTCCCAGAAATTAAAAAAATGTTCGAAGACCTGAATTTTAAAAATATTTTTCGAAGATATGGATTTGATTCGAAGCCTTAGATTTTAAGTAGTCTATAGCGACTCTCTGACCTATAGAGGCTATATTCCGCTCGCATATAAGGGCTCCATTCAACCGAACTTTAAAGACTTCCTCCAGCTCTCTTCTGCTCGCTTATAACGTCAACGTTTAGCGCGACTATAAATACTTCCTTCAGCTCCTCTATAAAGACCCCCTTCAGCTCGACTATAAAGATTCCCTGCTCCAGTTAGTCTATAAAGATTCCCTTCAGCTCGTTTACAAGGACTACTTCAGGTCATCTATAGAGACTCCCTTCAGCTCGTCTAAAAAAACTTCCTTCAACACAGCTATAAAGACTCGCCTCAGCTCGTATATAAAGACTCCCTTCAGCTCGTCTATAGAGACTCCTTTCAGCTCGTCTATAGAGACTCCCTCAAGCTCATCTATGGAGACTCCCTCAAGCTCTTCTATAAAGACTCCCTTCAGGTCGTCTATAGAGACTCCCTTCAGGTCGTCTATAGAGACTCCCTTTAGGTCGTCTATAGAGACTCCCTTCAGGTCGTCTATAGAGACTCCCTTCAGGTCTTCTATAGAGACTCCCTTCAGGTCGTCTATAGAGACTCCCTTCAGGTCGTCTATAGAGACTCCCTTCAGGTCGTCTATAGAGACTCCCTTCAGGTCGTCTATAGAGACTCCCTTCAGGTCGTCTATAGAGACTCCCTTCAGGTCGTCTATAGAGACTCCCTTCAGGTCGTCTATAGAGACTCCCTTCAGGTCGTCTATAGAGACTCCCTTCAGGTCGTCTATAGAGACTCCCTTCAGGTCGTCTATAGAGACTCCCTTCAGGTCGTCTATAGAGACTCCCTTCAGGTCGTCTATAGAGACTCCCTTCAGGTCGTCTATAGAGACTCGCTTCAGGTCGTCAGCTCGTCTATAGAGACTCCCTTCAGCTCGTCTATAGAGACTCCCTTCAGCTCGTCTATAGAGACTCCCTTCAGATCGTCTATAGAGACTCCCTTCAGATCGTCTATAGAGACTCCCTTCAGCTCATCTATAGAGACTCCCTTCAGCTCGTCTATAGAGACTCCCTTCAGCTCGTCTATAGAGACTCCCTTCAGCTCGTCTATAGAGACTCCCTTCAGCTCGTCTATAGAGACTCCCTTCAGCTCGTCTATAGAGACTCCCTTCATCTCGTCTATAAAGACTGCCTTCATCTCGTCTATAGAGACTCCCTTCAGCTCGTCTATAAAGACTTCTTCAACTCGTCTATAAAAACTCTTATGAGTCCGTCTATAGAAAATCCATTCAGCTCTTCTCTGATGCTTTCCTCGCCTATAAAGCCTCACATCAGTTAGAAATTCTTTCTAAACCTGTGGTTTATTCACATTTCTGTTTAAAGTAATTACATAATAGTTTTATAATTGCAACTAGTTCTGCTTCATTTGCAACTTGTTGTATAACTCCACTGATTACTGATGTGTCTGTCGTCTCTTCGCTTAGAATAGAAGACCCAGTTAAACGTTTCCGGTCTAGAAATGCAAACAAACCAACCAAAACACACACACACACAAACATGCATCCATCACCACCTACCTTGTTATGTTTCCTACCACACTTTGACTTACATTTGCCGCAGCTATGCTTTACAATGCAAACCAATTTCAAGTTCCATTGACATTCCGCTCTGGAGCCCACCAACCAACAAAATTATTTGCTTCTCTCCTCTAATAATAAAATTCTATTTTACTCATGGTTATGCAAAAAAAAAGCAGAACCTGTTTCATTGATAAATACTTTTCCAGCAGGTCTTACATTTCCGGTATTTTTTTTTTTGCTAATTCTTCTTCATCTCCTTTTCTGTTTTATTACAGGTTGGCCGCTCTTCAGAATCACCCATAGATTTTGTGGTTATGGACACACTGCCCGGTGACAAGAAAGATGCAAAAGTAATGCAGAGTACAATATCACGTTTTGCATGTCGCATTCTGGTCAATCGAAGTGAACCCTCAAAAGCGAGAATATTTGCAGCCGGCTTCGATTCGAGTAGGAATATTTTCTTGGGTGTAAGTATGTAATGTAAGCGGACCGGTGAAATGACTTCTGCGCCTCCTCGGACTCACTCTCCTCTCCCTCTCGTTGTGACTCCAAGAAACAAGCAGAGCCTAAAAGGCAAACCTATAGAAGAGATAGTCAGCCAAGCAACCAAACAACACAACCAACCAGCAAACCATCCATACATCCGACCATTCCAGCCCACAGTTTGTTCTTGCTTTAGACATTTGTTTGGTATAGCCGCCTCTCTAGTATATCATTAAAATTTAATCAATAAATTGTTTAAACTTTTGAGTGGTTGAAGAAGCCAAGAATGAGGAGCCAGAGGAAAGCTCGAAACTGAGAGTTTGTGTGTGTGTCTGAATGAATGTGCGGCTTGAACTCTGTTGTGGTTGCTCTGTGGTATTTTGTGTGGTATGGTGATGATGATGGTGGTGGCTATGACTATGACTACGATGATGATGACGACGACGAGGAGTACTATGAGTGCCACTCAATTGCTTTGACTTTGCGTTTTTGTTGTTGTTCATGAATGGCAAATCCAACACCAGCAACTACAACAATAATAGCAATAGATAAATGTTTGATGGCATGGTAGTATATCTTTTTGTTGTTGTTGTTGTGGCCTGGCCCATAATGCCAAAAGTGGGTCATTGTTACGGTATTCATAATTTGTTCAAAGGAATGGTTGGTTGGTGATATCGACGTGTAGGTACAACGCCTAGCTGCACTGGCTTCCTAACTTATACCATGGGCGTTTTGTTGTACATTGAATTATTGTTGTAGTTTTTTGTTGTTGTGATTGGTTGTTTGCTATTCATTAGTCACTTGTAATCTCTAAAAATCAATCTTTTGCCTAATACCACAATCCTTTTTATCTTTCTTTACTGGGTATGGGATTTCGGAAGAAGAATTCAAAGATGGATAGAAGGAAAATGAGAAGGGACATAGACGAGCTGAAGGAAGTCTCAATAGACGAGCTGAAGCAGGGAGTCTCTAAATACGAGCTGAAGCAGGGAGTCTCTAAAGACGAGCTGAAGCAGGGAGTCTCTTTAGACGAGCTGAAGCAGGGAGTCTCTATAGACGAGCTGAAGCAGGGAGTCTCTATAGACGAGCTGAAGCAGGGAGTCTCTATAGACGAGCTGAAGCAGGGAGTCTCTATAGACGAGCAGAAGCAGGGAGTCTCTATAGACGAGCTGAAGGGAGTCTCTATAGACGAGCTGAAGGGAGTCTCTATAGACGTGCTGAAGGGAGTCTCTATAGACGTGCTGAAGGGAGTATCTATAGACGAGCTGAAGGGAGTCTCTATAGGCGTGCTGAAGGGAGTCTCTATAGACGAGCTGAAGGGAGTCTCTATAGGCGTGCTGAAGGGAGTCTCTATAGACGAGCTAAAGGGAGTCTCTATAGACGAGTGAGGGAAGTCTCTATAGACGAGCTGAAGGGAGTCTCTATAGACGAGCTGAAGGGAGTCTCTATAGACGAGCTGAAGGGAGTCTCTATAGACGAGCTGAAGGAAGTCTCTATAGACGAGCTGAAGGAAGTCTCTATAGACGAGCTGAAGGAAGTCTCTATAGACGAGCTGAAGGAAGTCTCTATAGACGAGCTGAAACGGATCTCTGTAGGCGAACTGAAATAAGTCTATCTATAGACGAATTAAATGGAGTCAATATAAAATTTTGTTTATTCAGTTCAGATCCCTCTATAGAGAAGGAAGCTTCCATTAAAATTCCCTTCAATTAATACATGGTCCCACCTCGCTTTGTATAAAACTCGTTTGCTTCTGTCTTGTTTGGCCTCAGATTATAGACGAGCTAGATCTAACGTGGTGGTCACAGAATTAAAACATTTACTGTGGTAAGCATTTTTTGATCAGCCCTCGATTAGTTTGAGGTATTTTTCAAAATTTTTTAATTCAGAACACTTCGATATACTGCACTTAAGAGATTTTGTGTGAAAATAGAAAATTATTGCATGCAATTTTTCCATAAATAACGGTTTTTATGAAAATACATCGACTTTGAAGTGGCCATATAATTAAAACATTGTGTAATTTTTTACTTTACTGCATTTTTTTGAAAATATTTTTCAAAAAGCTCTTTAATTTAGTTAAATTATGTAAACGAAGCACTGATAGAATCATTTACGGATCAAAATTTCTAAAAAAAATCTGTAAAATCTATCAAAATGGCCAAAAATGTGTACAGTACACCTAACATTCAGAAAACACCCTTATTATAAAAAATAAAAGTCCGAATGCACCAGAAATTGCTTGAATTAGTAAAAAACAATTAATAATACTCAAAATAAATAAATATATGAAATAAAAACTCAAAAAATTGGAATTAACCTAAAGGATAGATTCATTTTCAATAGCCTTTACTAAAGAAGGCCGGAATATTTTTGCAGTATGTGATAAAATATCGATTGATATTGACATTTTTTATATCAAATCGATTGTTCGAGTAGTACAGAATATATTTCATCAAAAAATATATCACTCACAACAGAACGAACAGAGATCAACGCCTATGTTGACGAGTAAAGGTTTCTGGCACACAGCAGCATGGTTGATGGTCAACTCTTGACCCTTAAAATCTATTGAACATGACAATATTTTTCCAAAATAATATTTTATGAAGAGAATAACTTCCACTTAATCTATTTTAGTAACAATGAAGGAAAAATTTTACAGTTTGACAAATATTTGAAGACTTGTGTTGAACATCAAAAATGCTGCAGTGTACCAGAAACCTTTACTCGTCAACATAGGCGTTGATCTCTGTTCGTTCTGTTGTGAGTGATATATTTTTTGATGAAATATATTCTGTACTACTCGAACAATCGATTTGATATAAAAAATGTCAATATCAATCGATATTTTATCACATACTGCAAAAATATTCCAGCCTTCTTCAATAAAGGCTATCGAAATTGAAGCATTCCCTTAGACAAATTCCCATTTTTTTGAGTTTTTATTTCAAATATTTATTTATCTTAAAAATTATTTATTGTTTTCAACTAATTATAGCTAATTCTTGTGCATTCGGACCTTTATTTTCTATAATAAGGGTGATTTTCTGAATGTTATGTGTACTGTACAAATGTTTAGCAATTTTGATCGATTTTACAGATTTTTTTCAAAAAATTTTATCTGTAAATTATTCTATCAGTGCTTCGTTTACATAATTTAACTAAATTAAAGAGCTTTTTTAAAATATTTTCAAAAAAATGCAGTAAAGTAAAAAATTACACAATGTTTTAATTATATGGCCACTTCAAAGTCGATGTATTTTCATAAAAACCGTTATTTATGGAAAAATTGCATGCAATAATTTTCTATTTTCACACAAAATCTCTTAAGTGCAGTATATCGAAGTGTTGTGAAATAAAAAATTTTCAAAAATACTTCAAACGAATCGATGGCTGATCAAAAAATGCTTACCACAGTAAATGTTTTAATTCTGTGACCACCACCCAATAGAGGGTATTTACAAAGTACCAACATGGAATCTTTGAAAAAAGCATAGAAATGATCAAAAGATAGCTTTTATAGAAATGAAAAAAGAAGCCCAATTTTATAAACGAATATCATTTTACGGAATTAAGGAGATCGCAAGAAGGAAATATCTCTGGATCCCTACTCCTTTATAACACTCCGACCTAATCTCGCTTCTCTATATAGCCAAAGCCAGTCATTTATAGGAGAGCTGAAGCGATTTTTAATAGACGAGCTGAAAGGAGTTTTGACATGCGAACTAGATCTGAACGCGTTCTTTATAGATGATTGAGTGTGTACAGACGAGACAAAGATATGAAGGAAGTCTTTATAGGCGTGCTTTGAAGGGAAAGTTTATGAACTAGTTGAAGGAGTTTTTTTTATAGGCGTGCTGAATGGAATTGTTTTAGATGAGAGGAATAGAGTTTTTATTGATAAGCTGAATGAAGACTTGCGAAAAGAGAGCATTCAAATCTTCAGGCGAAAGAGAGATGTTCTCAATTTATCTCCAAAATAGATTGTGCGGAGTCATCCATGGTTCTTAATGGACCGCGTTGAAATCGGTATAGATCGATGAATTTTTTAAGGTGCACACCGAAATCGGATGCGCGTTAATGGCATATGAAGTTTTCGGAAATTATTCGCGTTTTACGAGTTTTTGGGTATTTCAATGCAACATATAGTGCATCTTAGCCGTCAAATGAAATTTCGCAAAATATATATGGATTGGGAGATAAACTTCAGTACTTCCTGGATGCGCATCAAACGATTATGAGAATTACGCGATTTAGAGGCAATTTAAAATGTGTATAGAAGATCTATAAGAAGTATTTATAGATAATCTGCCTGGATTCTTTATTTACAACCTACAGGAGGCTTTATAAGCGAGCTGAAGGGAGGATTTATAATCGGATGCACGCAGACGTTATAGACGATCTATTACAGATAAACTAGAGGGAGTTTCTGGTCTTTTCAGTTGATATATATATATATATATATACTATATATATAATATAGATGCAAGGACGAGGGATTCTTTATAAACTATCAGAATAATGGAAGGATGTTTTTATGGAAGACTGTGACGACAGCAAGGTTTTAATAGCATAAAATAAAGATAAAGAAGTCTCTATAAGGGTGAGAGAAATAATTTAGACGACTAAGAGGAGCGCTTATTATAGACTAAACGATATGTCGTATTGGCCACCAGAATACAACCGAATCAATCGTTTAAAATGGAGTATCTTTAAACGGTCTAAAAGGGAATATTTACAGAACACATTTTGAAAACTTTTGGGAAAGGAAATCTATAAGTATGTGAGAATTGCCGTAAATAACGCTGTGCAACACAAAAAATTATTATCAGGATATTTCAAAAAAAAAAAAATAATAATAGTAATAATATGAAAGAGGGGCTAAAAATAGATGACAAGTGTATTTGTATTAGGATTTCTCGAAACCCTTGTATTTTAGGAATATTCTGTCCTTGGCAATATTACTGATATAAATGTAAGCAATATTTTTCTCTAATATGTTAAACCTAAATCGCTACTTTGAAGAAGTCTTTGCGGCCCCTTTTTCCAAAAATGATTAAAAACTCAACTATGACGGGGTTATATCAAGTCAGAACATTCAATAAAAATGTTCGCCATAAAGTTTCACAATAAATCTCAGAATATACCACAACTCAAAAATTAGCCTAAACGCCAAAAAGCTTAAATTTATGAAAATTCATTTTGGTGGTAAAAAGGACCTTATTCCGAGTTTGTACCAATTGTTCCTGCTTGATGTCATTTTGGAATGATGTTATAAAGGACAAAAATATTCTCCGTCGAATTTTAGTATAAGTCACTGAATAAGAGAAATTAATATAAGGAATGTGTTGACGTCAATTTGGGTCAAAAAATTCAAAATCTGTTTCCATAGAAATTTCCCAGTACTTTTTTCAATAACGTACATGAAAGTAAAATGAAACTAAATTTTTGTGCGTAGTGCTTAAGATCAAAATAGTGTACATCAAATTTCACTATGAGTTTCAAATCAAACTATATATTTAAATCAAACAGGTTTTTTATAAATTTTCTGTTGACTTTAGTAAGGGTTAGTTAAACACCTTGCAGAAATATGTCAAAATCTTCAATATAATTACATCTTAAGAGTATTTCGTCAAAGACAGAATTATTCTATATCGAATTTCACTATTACTTACAAAAGCAAAGATTTTTGTAAACACGATATTTATTTGAAAAAAAAATTATCTCTTGATTTGGGTATATTACAGCAAATGTTATTTTTTGTTCTTTTTTTCCAAATAAATTGGAAACTACCTCACATACCCTCATAGGGTCCGAATAGTCAAACAACTGTCGTAACAAATAGGTAGATTAGGAGCAAGCAGGTGTTTAGTAATCACTATTTTAATAATCACTATAGGGTATTGCTCCCCAAAATTCTGCAATTTGGGATTTGGACACGTTTCACAATCGATGTGACTTTAATTTGGTATTTTTGGTTCTCACTGGGTAGCATATCTATATTTATAGTTTTTTTTTTGCTAAAAATATATTTGTTTCTTTCTATACCTTTTTAATAATATATATCTCTCGTTATAGGCCATCACGATTGGGGTCAGGATAAAAGCACCGGTGCCCGACGCTGTCCAATGTGTTTAGAGGTAGGACCTGTTGTGACATTGTGTATGGGCCTCGAACCGGCATTCTATGTAGATATTGGCCCGCCAACATTTGCATTTAATCCATGTGGTCACATGGCGACTGAGAAAACGGTTAAGTAAGTTGAAATTCAAATTTTAAACTGATGCAAGTAGTTAATCAAAATTCTATTCTTGTTTGTTGCAGATATTGGGTCAATGTGGATATACCACATGGTACAAATGCTTTTCAACCTGTTTGTCCATTCTGTGCGACGCCATTAGACGCCAATTCGGGTTATATTAAATTAATTTTTCAAGATAATTTAGATTAAAGATGTGTATTATATAAATATATATTATTATTATTAAATATTAAACAAAAAAACAGAAAAGAGGAGAAAATATTTAAAGCAAACATTTGCAAAAACAAACATGAAGAAGTTGAAGATGAAAATAAGAAAAACAAATAATCCATAGGCTTTATTTTTCTAAAAACATAAAAAAATTATACAATAAGAAAAAAAACAAAATATAGAAAGAAAAAAAACAAACAAGCGAAAAAATATAAAACAAAATATTAATAATGAATTATTAATAATATTTACAAATTATTTTTTAAATATCAAAAACAAACAACAACAAGAAAAAATGTTCTATTTATACATATACAATACATGCATTACATTTACACACACACATCTACATAATTGATGCATGCACACGTTCATACAAAAATCGTTTATTTTTCCATAATTAAAATTTCTAGATTCATTTTGTAGCATCATAAAAAAAAACACATTCATCAACCTTCCTCCAGGTATTATTTGTGTATGATAACACTAATCACAACCCGCCTCCATCTCCTCCACCACATCCCAAAGCATTCATTAATTCATCAAAATTTTTTTTATATTTCAAAAATGTTTTTGTGTTTTAATTTTAAGCTATAAAAATATAGTTTTTTTCAATTCATTTATTTTTTTCTCTCGCAAATGATGTGCATTCTTTTTCATTTGTTTGCTATATATTTTGTAAATGTATAATACAAAACAAAAAACCCAACAACAAATGTGTTAAAACTGTAGTTCCCCCCTTAAAACAGAAATAAGAAATTTATACACATATGTATTTCTATATGTACAATTATTATTAATTTCTTATCTTGAAGAAAATTGTATAACATTTATATGAAATTAAAAAAAATGTATTTTTTAAGATTAAAAAAAAAAAAATGATTTTGTTTTTATTTTTTATTTAATAGTTTTGTTTGTAGAATTTTGTTTGGTTGAAGAGCTTTTTTATGATTTTTTATTGGAGACCATTTCTATATTCATATTTCAATACATATTTCCAATTCATTATTCACTTCTTCAGAGATAAGGTCATCACCATAAATATGATAGGTTATATACGACATTTGTTGTACTATTGTTCCGAATGCAATCTATATTCCTACATTTAATATCAAGTTTACCATTACCATTTGGTACTCTTCACATGCATGAACATTGTTTTCCGAAATCTCTTTCTTATTTCCATTACACAGATTAAAAATAGATCAGAATTCTAATTATATATTTTAGCAAATACGTACAAGTACCACATTTTCATTTTCAAAGTTACCTCCATACCATCATCACCACCACCACTAAATTCAGTACCAGTTAGTAACAAAAACCCTTTGGTACTTCTTTCTAACTATCCGTCGGTAACCACATTCTAAATTTTATGTTTCCAGATCTCTCCGTTAACTAAATTTAATGCATTTTCTATTCTATTTCCTATTCGTACACATAAATTCCAATCTCCAACGTTTTTTTCATAGCTCAATATGTACTACACTTCAACAGTAATCTAAATTCCAAATCTTAGAATTTAACCAAATCCAAAATGTTTCCAAAGCTAGTATTTTTCATACTCATAAGTAAGAAAGTTCTAAAACTACATCAATCCTACACTCTAACAGCAATCTTAATTCCACCAAAGTACAAATTTAGTACTTTTCGTACAAATTTCCAAATATACCTCAATCCTCCTTTCAAATAGTAATCGTAAGTCCAAATGTAAGAATTCCAGTTCTGTCTGTTCACTAAATTGTACCAGATTTGTTACAATTCTGTACATTTCCTACACCCTCCACAGTCACATAAGTTGCAACTCTCAGTTCGAGTTCTACCCGTTCACCAAAATCCAAATTCTACTAAATGTTGATTCATACCCAAAAGTACGAATTTCCAAAACTACGTCAGTCATGCACTCCAATAATAACCCTAAGTCTCTTATGTTTCCTACACTCCAACAAGCGCGTCGGTCTTGTGCGCATCTCCGCCAATTTGAAAGACCACGTTCCAAGATGTTGTTTTCTACTTGGTCCTTCCATCTAATTCGTGGCATTCTCATTCATTCGTACAACTTGGCCCAGCCATCGTAGTCGGTGCAGCACAATACGACTGACTATGTCGATGTCCGCGTATTCATTCTAAAGCTCGTCGTTCATTCGACGCCGATATTCACCGTCGACGCTGATCGGTCCATAAATCTTTCGGAGAATTTTTCTTTCAAAACCCCAAGAGCTGCCTCATATGCTTGCGCAAGTACCCATGCTTCTGATGCATATAATAGCACGGGTAGTATCAGCGTCTTGTAAAGTGTGAGTTTGCTCTGGCGGGAGGTGGCCTGGTTTCTAAACTGCTTACTTAGACCATAGTAGCATCTGTTGACCATCACAATCCTTCTCCGAATTTCAAAACTGATGTCATTCGTTTTATTTATGGCGGTACCAAGGTATATAAAATATTTAACTACCTCGAAGTTGTAGTTCTCAAGTTCCACAGTTGGTCCGAGTCTACTGAACGTCTTGCGCGTTGATACCATCAGCTTGGTCTTCTCGCCGTTTACTGCCAGACCCACTTTTGCAGACTCCTTCTCAATTTGTTCAAAGGTGGTTGTTACCGCCCTCAATGTTCGACCCATTATGTCGATGTCATCGGCGTAGGCGAGTAACATGTGTTGTTTGGTGTACAGAGTGCCATTTCTGTTCACCTTGTCTGAATCCTCGTTCGGTATTGAAGGGTTCCGATAGGTCCTTTCCGACTTTAATTGCTGACCTTGTGCCACATAAAGTTATCCTGCATAGCCGTATTAATTTTGCAGGAATGCCAAACGTAGACATGGCTTTAAACACCTTGTGGCACTTAAAGTTATCCTGCATAGCCGTATAATTTTGGAGGAATGCCAAACGTAAACATGGCTTTAAATACCTCTGAACGGATAGGGCTGTCGAATGCGGCTTTATAGTCGACGTATGTGTCGAGGTGTTTTTCATGGGTCTTTTCCAGGATTTGGCGCAGAGTGAAAATCTGGTCACTTTATATGTGATGGGAAGGAGACTTATTCCTCTATAGTTAGCACATATCGTCTTGTCTCCTTGTTTGTGCACGGGACACAGGATGCTGAGGTTCCAATCATTGGGCATGCATTCCAAGGCTACGTAAATTCCGTAATTTTCATTCCAAATCTAAGTTTTCCATCTCTATCCTTGGTAAAAAGATTAGGTTGGTGGAAAGAGGATCAGAGAGGGTTGACCTTTACGAAACATTTGAATCAAAAAATTGTATTGGTGGACAATTTTGTAAGTTCATTTTATAGGGTTTTCAGTGAATTACATTAAATATTCTGTACTTAAGCCTAAGGTAGCGGCCATACGTCCTCTTATTAATTTATTTATTTATTTCATACAAAGCAATGCAGAAGCTGTTACCAGCCTAATAATTACATTACAATAAATACTAATATATATAGCGACAATATAAGAAATTCAACCAGTAGCAATAATAAAAACTTAACAATATTGATAACAATTAGCTGGTTTCCCAATTATAATAATTTACAAAAACATTATGTAATAATAAGTTCAAATCAATGCAAAGAACTACTATAATTTACAATTTAAGCAGCCTATTGTAGATCAATCTTGATTTATAGCAAACGCAATGTACTTATTTTTAAAAATTGTAGCAGGGTACGAAAATATACGCAAAAATGAAGGAAGTTGGTTCCAGAGACGGGCAACTCTAACCGTAAATGATCGTTCAAACATTAAAGAGGTAAAACGAGGAATTTGTAATTGTGTGTTGCGGGTGGAATGAGAAAAAATAAAATTACTACACAGCAGTACCGGACAATTAGAGCATATTATCTTATAAAATGTGTTTAATATACGCAGGTCAATGTAAATGTGAAATGGTACACCCAAAAACTGCAATGAATAATTTGTAACATGGTCCCGTCGTTTCAAACGAAAAACAAAGCGCAGAACCATACTCTTGACTGCTACCAGAAACTACCTCAAGACAGTAGCTAATGCGAGACATAAGCATTGCAAAAGCAAGTCGCTTACGAACAAAATTTGGTAAATAGATATTACTGCAATACAATTTACGTAGATATGGTATAACTGCAGAATATAGTGATTGGATATGACTACTAAATGTAAGCCTATTATCAAGTACACATCCCAAACATTTCATTTCTTCAATAAATTCGATATTTAAACCATTCATATATATCAATAGTAGGACCAATATTTCTAATGGGGTTAAACAGCACGGCTTTTGACTTTCCTATATTAACCGAAAGATTATTTATGGTAAGCCAACGATTAATCGAGCCTAATGCACAATTAATTCCAGACTCTAAATTTGTAATTGACCCATCCCTAAAGAATAAATGCATATCATCTGCATAAAAATACGGAAGGCAATACTGACTATCAATACATTTCACTATATCATTTATGTACAGTATAAAAAGAAGTGGGCCCAATACGGAGCCTTGCGGAACACCCGTATTTATATCCCGTTGACTAGAAGAAACTCCCTTTAATGAAACAAACTGTGAACGATCAGAAAGGTATGAATATATTAATTTACAAGCAGAGCTATCAAACAGAAAATTATTTGTCAACTTCTCAATTAGCAAGGTACAAGTTTGATGTCAATACGTTCATTCATTACTGAGTTATAGCCATTTAAAGTTGACCTTGTGTCAAAATATAACGGCTACACGATTCTGTTGGCCTGGTACCTTAAATTGGAAAAATGGTTGAAATTGGCATTTTCACAAAAGCGAAAAAGTGCAAAACAGCAGCAAGCATCATTGCCACATTGTTCGATTTTTCTTTGATTTGATGGTTGGTTTAGAAATTCTGAGCATACTTTCAGGCGCATCATTTTAAATGATATCCATGTGATAGTTATATGGCTCGTGATTTTAATGTAACGCCTAAAAGTATGCTCAGAATTTATAAACTCACATTAAAACACTATAGTAGCGATCTGGTAACATTGCAGCAGTATTTTATGTTTTTGCCCATTTGCGATTTCTTCATTTT